ACTAGATAGAGTTAAATTTTTTTTTAACAGGCTATGCAGTATTAGGAGAACATTTGAAATAATTAATTTGACTTGATAAAAAAATTTATATTAATTTATTTTATTATAAAAATTTTTATAGTACATAAAAAATCTTTATTTTAAAATATCTGATGATGATGTCCATGAATATTGAGATATTCCTAGAAAAGAGAAATTTATTGCGTAAGCAGTAACAAACGCAATGTAAGCTAAAAGAAAAATAGTGATGGGCTGTAAAGGTAAACGGAAACGTGCTAAAAAAAAAAAATTGTATACTAGCAGTGAAGAAATAAAAAACGTCAAAAAAAATAATAATGGTAAAAGACTGATTTCAACACTAGGGTAGTCAGGAGGCTATAAATACCTATATTTGCAGGATTGTCAGCACTTGGTATTTTGATGTCTGGAGGTGCTAGTATGTATAATGCAATCCAAAAAGAAAAAGATGACGATTTATATTTAAAATAATGGATTAAAAAAAAAGCTGACAATCAGGCTACCCATCAGAGCGCTTTTGTTTACGATATTATCAAATATGTTAGAAAGTTGAAAATCAATAATTTCATATATAATACAAAATATTCTAAGCTGACAAACCATCTCGAAATTTCGAAAGAGTTATTTTACTTAAATAATAAATACCGAACACAGCTATCATTCAGCGTATCTATTGATCCCATCGATTTTGGAACGTACATAAAATGCAATGGAATACTAAAGTTGAATATTTTAAACCATATAGCATCTTTTGAAAAGGGAATCTATGGAACAATACCTGAAGCTCGTCGATCGGAAAAACCTGTAAATTTAAAAACTATTAACTCTATAAAAAGAATTTTGTGTCACGGGTTTGTCCATTTTTTAATCGTCATGTCCCGTAGTTCCGACAGACTTATAACAGGACGCTTTTTGTTTCGTTTTTATAAGTATGTCCCACTTTAATCTCGTTATCTATATTATTATGTATAATATAAAAGAAAAAATCGGGTAAGAAGATGATGCTCTGCTGTGGGTACCTACTATTAATTTCCTTTGGTGATAAAAAGAAAGTGAGTGTTGTCATGGGACACCCGTTAGAAATGAAATTTCTTTTCCAACAAATATTATAGATTACAATTTACAAATACATTTTAGTGGAACCATTCAAAATAAAAGTAAATGTGAAAAATGAAAATGAAAATGAAAATTATTATTATTACTATTATATTAATCATATTTAATAGTCGAAATTACAGATTTGTGATAACTGAAATATGATACTTATGTTTGTGATGTAATTTTTTCCAAATATCTTGAAAATACTGCATCGATAGTGGTGTCATCTCTCGTTGCAGTCTTGTAGATTCTGCTGGATTGTTTATCATATGTAAATTGAATGTGTCCATAAGGAAAGTTTTAAAAGTTTCTGATTTCTTATCATTAAAATTGATGTTTAAGTCACCAAATTGTTGTAATTTATAAATTATAATAATTATAAATGCATAATATGCAGATCTTATTACGCTGTTTCAAGTCCTATCGCGTTATACCCGTTTTATATTACCTAGTTTATACCAAACGCGACACACAAAACGATTTAATCACGTCAAAGGTAAAGCACTACATAGGGATATATGCAACAATCAGATTATTCTACGAAAACAATTTCATGAAATAAAAATGTTTACGCGTCATGTAAGGAGATTATAATATGTATATAAGATGTAAAAAAAAAGTTTATGCTTTGTAAGGACCGTGCCGCATCATCGAGATCCCGGTAACCATTCTGATAAGAATTGATACCAGGTCCGAGTCACTCAGATCCCGAGACAAAATGATACCGATTCATTTAGATCCACCGACATTTATAGGTCCCAGTCTATTTGAGACATTTAGATCTATTTGCTATTATGGCGACATTTTTACATTCATGAAATCTACCTCGGTCTTTAATCAACTTGGTTTTTAACTAACAAATAATGTATACGATATAATATAGATGACAAAAATATAGTTTATTTGTACCTATATTATTTAGCCGATGTACTTATAAGTTATATTATTTGTTTTCATGTTCCTATGTTCCATTTACCAGAGTCGGACTGGCCCTGACCGCCCGGCCGGCTTAATTATGGTAATTGGGGTTTTGTACCTATTAATATTATTATTATTCGTTTAGAGTAAATAAAAATACGAAATAAACATTTTTTTTTTCAAATCAAGAGATGCTAATCAAAACATTTGCCATTTGTCTGTTGGGGGCCCTTTTTTCCAAATCGCAGACTGGGCCTTTTAGAGCCAGTCCGACACTGCCATTTATTATTTAAAATAGGTATTAGGTACCATTGATTATATATATATTATAATTTTTACATTTGCAATACACCTTCCTTTGTAAATCGTTACACATCATAATATAGAAATAGACCATATTATAGGTAGTAATATTTTGATTCTTTAAAATATTAAAAATACATAGGCACAAAATGTTGACAAAAGGTATCACATTTAAAATTTAATAATAATTTTGTTGATAAAAATGCATAAATTGTTCAACTTTTATAGCTAAGGATTGAAAATTTAAAACAAGATTCCACGTAAATAGGTTATATATAAATTACTTATTATTCACCTTAACATCATCAAATATTCTTCGTAATATCATAGGCTGACTGACCGTTTTCGCTCAGAATCGTTTTTCTAATGATATTATACCATTGAATTTTAAATTAACACCATCCATTACAGTGACCCAATTTTTTTTATGTTTATGTATGACTTCTTTAACAAAATATCTGGGATATTTAAGAAGTAAGATTTTCAATTTTAAAGAACATTTAAATTAAGATGTTATTTTAAAAATTACACGAAATGATAACATAAAATTTGTATTTACTTTGAGAACATCAGATTTTAAATTGCTTATAGTATAGAAACTTATGAATTGAATCATTTTTTTGAAATTACAATTTACAATGGAACTTCAGGAAGTATGTAAGTACCTATGTTTAATTTACTACCGTTTTTAGTAATTTTTATGCAAACAAAAATATATTTCATTTTCCTCGACGATTTGACAAGTGCGTGTACGTGTGATACTTATTAACTATAATGGATTACACACAGACACAGTATGTTAATTTATTAATCACACATTGACACACGCACACAGTCCAAATGTACGTGTCAAATAAATTGCCTAAATATTACTCCTTAAAACATGCTACGAACAGCACCCTTTAGACTATAATATGGGCCAGTGGCGTAGTTAGGGATTTGTCTTAACAAAAAAATACTAAATAGTAAATACTAAATAAATAAAATAAATCAAGCGGTAACTGATTGGTACCCACTATTTTATCAAAAATTCTAAGACTTATATATACACAAAATTGAAGTTTGACTGCATAGAATAAGGTTCTATGCATGGAATAATTTAAATGTATAGAATATATTAAAAAATAAAGAATATAATAATAATTATTTAGATATCTAAACTAGTAACTAGTGTAATATAATATTACCTTGGTCAAAATGTGATGTTGATTCTCCAGTTAAACCTAATTTATTAAAAATATAAGCAACAATAAAATTAAATATTTATACAATTATAGCTATACAAATCACTTTTTTTAAAATTCTTAAAGTAAATAAAACCATATTAAAAAATAATTTTAAATTTACTAGATAAAATATTGCTGCTTCTGTAAACTTCTGAAATTTTATTTTTCTCGTTATTAACTGTTGGTTTTTTATACACACTACGAGTAGTTTCTTCACAAGAATCACTATCTATAAATCAAAACTTATATTTAAAATATTGTATGATATTGTAATCAACAGACATCATAGGTCGCCGACATTATTACCTGATGCATCATATTGGGGTTTGGATAATTTTAGTCTTTTGCCCCTTCTTAATGTTTCTTCATTTTCCGACTCAGACCTAAATATTTGTACTTCTTTCATTGCTGCTTGTTCATATGAGTCTGTATATTATATATTATAAGAAATATATTTTTATATGTATTTTATTAATTTTAATTAGGTACATTTTATAGTACTAAGCATGATGATGATGGAATAATCATTTATCGCTGAATACTTACCTATGCTCTTCTTTAAAATAGCCAATAATCCACTAAAAGTACGATAATTAAAATAGACACCGCTGAAAAATTCTATTAGTGGATCATACTGGAATATATTTGTCAGATCAAATTATAATATGGGTTCTGTACATACACCAATAAACATTAAGTTGTAAAATATAATATAATCTTGGATCCTTTTAGAATAATATAACATACAAACTTATATTCCCGGCATATCTGATTATTATTTATTACTATCGGCTATCACAATAGGTAGGTATGTTTATATTTTTATGCTTAAATTATAATTTCGTGTTTTTTAAATTTTCTATATACCTACATTATTTCTAGCAACATATTGTGTATGTATATATGTGTGTGTGTAATTATGAGTGCATAAGCAGTAAGCACAACATTTTGTGCTGTTGGTAACATAATATTATACAACTTAATATTTTATCCTACAAAATTATACTACTATTAGGTATAGATAATATTTATTAAATTAATTAATTATTCACATACCTGTTGTTTCGAACCTTCCCTTTTGACAAAATTGAATGACCAGTACAAATATGAATACAAAACAAATACTATTGCCTATATTGTAGGTAATAGTTATGTTATTTTAACACAATGTTATACAACTATACAGCACACTACAGTGGATATTACACGTGTCACGTCAACAGATAAATTATAGCTTATACTTTATAGTATAAAACTTTCCACAAAATAACAAGGTATCAATTATCTTGTACGCACTTGAATACTTGATACTACCTACTTTAAATACAAATTACAGCAGGTACACTGTACAGTCGCTGGTCATTTGCAAAAACAAATGTCGTCGATACTGGATACATAATCGATATTATAATCGTGATTCATTAAGGCGCGTCCACACTATGCCGATATATGCCATATATTCATTTTGCCATTTGGCTTTCTTTGATCCTGACCGACAGTCGACGGATACGGCTTGGCATGCCAGTTGGCAAAACTTTGCCAAATGGCCTGTGCCAACAAAAAGTCCACATCACCCTTGGCAATGCCATTTGGCAAAGCCATATGGCATAGTGTGGACGAGCCTTTATACGTCATAATATTATAATCATTAATATTATTGCCATTATCACATCGGTCATTGGGTATTTTGCTTAATTTTATTTTTAAATCATTTACAATAATTTTACGTGAGATCCGTGTGACCACCATGGCACCATGCGATATTGTGGATTGAGATGTTTATTTATAAATAATTTTAAAATCGGAAACTAATATCTCTGAGACATCACAATCACAACATTAGTTGTTATACGTTCGAGGAGATGTTGATTTTGAGATGTTATTTTTATAATTATACAATCATCTCATTGACATATCAGAGATGTATTGATTTTAGGAGGTAATTTTTATAATTTTACAATCCTCTGATTGACATATCAGAGATGAACACCGTATACGTTAGCTTTAAGATCATACACCGACGTGTATGAGATATCATTGTCAACACATTGTACACAGAGAGACTGCTGCACATTCTGCTAAATATTATCTAATATTTAAAAAATATACATGTATACCTATAAATATAATTAATAAGTGCCAGATTTATAAATTAAATTGTCTCTACTAATTTCTAAAATTGTGCACAATTTCTCTGTTTGTAATTTTTAAAATATTATTAGTTATAAACTTATAAATGATACATAACTTTAAAGTGTTACGCCAGATAAATTGTGGAAGTATTATATAAATGATAATATAAATATGTTTAATGAATAATAACTACCTATATTATTATATGAAGGGACACCCAAGGAAATTTTATTAGAATACATAATTACGACATAATGACAATAGCTTATAAGCCATTTTCCCTTATTCTATTTGACCATTTATACAAATTAATGTACAAACAAATAAGTAATATATGATATTATAATGCCTACTTTAAACTTACAAATTATTTTTCAGTTAAAAACACGAGAGGAATTGTGGTGTGTGTGGCATGATTACCGGATCAAACATTGTACTAAGATCATGTCTGTTTGTGTGGTGAATGTTTTGAAGGCTTAGAATTTAGATTGATTGATTTGTCCACTTTACCGAGCATTAATAACCGACATTATTGTTATTTTGGACTAACAAAATGTTGTAATATTAAATTATGAACGCAGTATTGTATTTAGGTTCATAAAAATATTATCTTTTATTGAAAACACATAATATGCATATTGCATATATTATATTTATAAGATGACAGTATTTTCTTTTAACTATGGAAATTATAATATCACTTATAGTGATTTGAAAATTAAAAATACGTGTAGAAAGGAAAAGGCAATTTATACAATTTAATTATTTGGACTCACCGTTTCCTTTTACTAATATTTGAATGTATGTGGCTGTGTGTAACTTCGCAGCTTCTAAACGTAGAGTCGATATCGTCATCTAAAAGTAAAAGTAATAAACAAAATTGTTGTTATTCATGGATTTAAATTTACTTAACCAAATGTTTTCGAAAAATAAAATAACAATCTTCAATATGATACGAAATAATTTTTTATTAATCAATAATAATTATTCTAAAGAATATTTTGATTTACTTACCATTCCAATATAATAGTTCAATAAATATATGTAATTTAGAAACATCTGTTCTAATCGTTTTATAACCGGCACATGGACTCTTCAGATCATCAACATGAACACATATTACATAAAGTAGTTTCATTATTTATTCGAAGCTTAACCATATTTTCTAATTCAACAAGATTATCATTTTTGACATTGACCGTTATATAAGGAATCGGTATAGTCGTCACTGTTGTCTTTTTACACTTGGGATTAGTACATGTGATAAAATCCTTCAAGGTAGGTAGATCTTTTAGAAAAATATTTATTACATTACCCATTGTAGTATCGCATTTTGCCATTGAGATGTCATTACCTATTATTTCAATAGGTGGGTTGAGGTAATCAATCTGTACAAATAAAAAAATACATTCAATCTATTATAAAACCTAAAACCCTAATGTATGAACTCGGAGATTAAATGATAATAGGTAGGTACTGATTCAAAATATTATAATAAATAGGGCTCGGATTTTAAAGCAAATAATTCTTTTTATATATATATATATAAGATATAAATCTAATTTTTATATATAAATTCGTTTCATATCATTCTGATTCCAAATAAACGAATTTATTTTTGCTTTTTTTTGTGTAAATGCTTTTTTTTGCTTTATTATTGCTTTTTTAAGTTTTTCTAACTGTGGAATTTTTATATTAAGTTTCTTATGCCATAATTATAAAAAAAAATGTTTATTTAATTAATAAGAAATGCAAAAACCAGCAATAATAATTTATAATATAAATATAGATATTCAATTTTATCCATCGCAGGACCGCGACCGTATCGTTAGTGTGAAACGACCTTAAACGTATATAGATGCTTATTGATTTACAGACAGTTTACGGGTCGATAGCTTATCGGTTATTACATATAGCCTACAGAGCCTACGCTCAGTACTCGTGGTAGTAAATTGTTTTTTTAAATAAAATTTTTTTTTTATTCAGTTTTATAAAATTATTAATTTTTAGTCATGCTTTTTTTTGCTTTTTTAAAAAATAAAAATGTTTCATTTTTGCTTTTTTACAATAATTTTTTGCTTTTTTTGTTACTTATTATGCTTTAAAATCCGGGACCTAAATTAATATACTTAATACGTAAACAAGATAATTTAAAATTATTTTTAACATTTTTCAAGACATAGGTACTTACTATTAAATTTGCTCGCTTAACATATGTCGTGGTTCTTATTCCGTTTTTTATAATACTCTCAACGAACTCCAACAATATATTTAGTATACAACAAAATATTAAATACAAACTTTGAACTTTGTATGGGTCTTGATGGATCCTTTGTTTTATAACGCACTTCCTGCGGCTGTATTTCACACCACTCTTCTACTGAAAAAGTTATTACAAATCCGAATTCTCATCACTGTTGCTATTACTACTACTGTAATAATCGATGCAAAATTTACAAAATCATCTTAGAAAAAATCAACTATTCATACAAAAATACTTCAAACTATTACCATCTTCAGTAGTTGTTAACTGGTTTTGAAATTGTGTACAAGTAGTAGCATTTGGAACATTAAGCAAACCAAGCATTTCCCAAATTCCATGCCTACCTTCGTACACGAATAAATGTATTGCTTTAACTGGCATACGAGAAGATAATAATTCTCCAATGTCATTCCAAACAGAGTTAGTAGCTTCTACAATTCCTAATAGTTTTGGAATAATAAATACATTATGTTAAATGCAACATCTTGTATACAGTAATGAACATACATCTATTATAACAACAATTAGGACTCCGATCTATATTCCCTGAAAATATCAAAAAAATGCCCTCCCAGAAAATGCATTTTGAACTAAAATCACTAAAATATGCTTAAAAATGAATTTAAACATAAATTTGCATTAAATTTTTATAGTTTTTTTAAACTAGAAAAATTGTGTATTATGAAAATAAATGTTAAAATTCATCAAAAAAAAAAAAATATATATATATATATATTTTGGAGATGGCCAAGTAGATACTTCTCTGCTGTACTGTAGGTGATTGAATTACTGTAATGAAAGGTATTAAATTTGAATTCAATGATTTAATATCATTGTATACGAAAAACGATTTTGAGAAAAGACGAATTGTCAGCCTTGGGTGTGATTAAGTTCTTGTTAGATATGCTTAAGTCCCCTGGCAGTCGCATATTCTCCTGGCAGTCGCATATCCCCTGGCAGTCGCATATCCCCCTGGCAGTCGCATATCCCCCTGGCAGTCGCATATCTCCCCTGGCAGTCGCATATCAAACCAGCAATCGCTGAGGAAGGATTGCCAGGCGGAGGTGTGGAAACGCGTCCAGGACGCAGTTATTGAATAATTAAATATGTTGTTTTTTATGTACAATAAACAATGGGGTCCGGAGGAGAAGTAATGCTAACGCGGTTCCTCCTCCGGTCACCGATCTAACCGGGGGAAAAAAAAAAAAAAAAAAAAAGATATGCTTAAGTAAAAATTTTGATAAAGTCATTAAGTTGTATAATGATAATAGATGTAGGTACTATAGAAGTGTAAAGAATAATTTTTAGATATCTAATTTAGTCCAAATTTGAAAATAAATCAATAAAATAATGTGTGTTTTTAACAAAATTCAAAGTACAAATTTTTATGAAATACGTCGAAATTGCGAAAATTTACAAGTAATTTTATAGTTGAAAATGTATAAAAATGTTTGTATATATATTTAAGGTAAAAAAATCAACACTAAATTGTCCATAAGTTTTCCTTCAAATCTTCAAATAACTATAGACAAAACTCGACGTCTCATTATAGAAACAATGTTTTGAGTGTTTGAATTTAAAGTTTTTACGAAATCGCGTAACGATAACAATTATTTGTTCTCAAACGATTTTCAATATTTGTTTATTATTTAAAAATTCGTAGATACTTGAAAATGTCACCAGTTCCTTAGATTGGCTTTTTCTTTTAATTTTAAAAATATTTCGCTTATTTAAAGGCTTTTTATAGACATTTGAAAAATTCATTTTATAAATATTTAAATGTTTAAATATTTCGTTTTATTTTTTTTTTTTTTATATACATCGATAAAATTTTTTTGGAGTTAAAATACTTGAAAATTTAATAAAAAGTTCTTCTTAAGTTAGTCTTATAGTAATTCAAAAATTATAAGAAAACATAGGCACAATTTTTTTTTATTAGCTTTGAAGTTCAAATATTGACAAAAACTTGTTAAAATTATGAATATTTGCAAATTATATTGTAGTTATAATTCATACAAATGTTTGTACAAGTTGTAACGAACACGAAATATGCATGACGCACCACCTAACCGAAACACGACACAATACAACAGCCGCTCATCAGTGTCAATAGAGTGCGCGCTTCGGGCTTCCCCGAGTGAAGACTGCGCACCAATACCAAACACATAGGCGGCCACGCAAAACCATACCGATTCTGCACGCGCTGTCGACCGGCAAACTATATGTAAGGGAGCCCGGCCGACACTACAAACTGTCTTGGGTAGCTCCAGCAGTGACTGGCTAATATAACCCCGGTTCTCGGCCACCTTTTTGGAAGGCTAGAACCAACGGAAATATTCGGCCTAGGCTGCTA